AAAAAAAATAACAAATTTTAAATGTTAGATATGTAAATACTTATGAATAAGGTTGTATCTATATAAATGCCCCAAAAAAATGTATATACACCACTCAATTCTTATTTATTCACATATCCAAGACCTAAACTTCAATTTTTACATCAATATGGTCTTGCCTATGCATGAAAAGGTGTATTTCAGTTTTTCAAAGTTAAAACTGTGGTATTTTTTATGTTATTAGAAAGATTTAGGTGATATAAATGAATAAAGCGAAGTTTATATATTAGATGTGTAAGCATATGAATTGGGTGGTATTTGTGTAAATGGGCCTAAAAAGAAATAGAAATATTTACATGCATATCACTCAATTCTTATGTATTTACATATTTAACATCTAAACTTCAATTTTTACATATAAACCACCTCACCTATTCATGAAAATGTACATCTCACCTTTAAAAGTAAAAATGGTGGTTTTTCTTTTTTTATGTGATAAGAATTATTTAGGCAGTATAAATGTAAAAAAATAATTTTTTGATGCTAGATAGGCAAATGCATACAAATTGGGTGGTATATGTAAATTACTCTAAAAGACCTAAAAAAAAAGAAAGGTATAAATGTAAAAAAATAATTTTTTTATGCTAGATAGGCAAATGCATACAAATTGGGTGGATGTAAATTACTCTAAAAGACCTAAAAAAAAAGAAAAAGGAAAACTCACATACATACCACTCAATTCATAAGTATTTATATATCTAGCACCTATACTTCAATTTTTACCCATGCATGAAAAGATGTATATCACTTTTTAAAAGTTAAAATGGTGGCAGTTTTTTATGGGGGAGTTGGGTGGTTTAAATGTAAAATGCAAAATTGAGATGTTAAATATGTAAAGACATATGATTTGGGCAATATGCATAGTATATGCCCATGCCCATTAAAAAAAAAATTTACATGCATACCTTTAGCAAATGACAAGTCAATCACACCAGACTGGTCACTCTCTGTGTCATTCAAGATACACTTCTCAGGAACTTCGAGAGAATCAAACAGAACACGGCAGCTGCCATATATACCAAGGTTGTTTAGTAAGAGACCCTTAGCACCACCTTCATCGAACTGGGCAGAGGTTTGATGGTAAAGAGGATCCACAGTGAAAGCCACTGTTCAAACACAGAACATCAGAGTGATCGTGCGGAGGCATCAAAAGGTTTGAAATCTGTGAGCTTCATCGTTTCTTACCATCAAACTTCTTAATGTTTAGCGCCTCAAAGGAGGTTTCCAGTGTCGATAATGGAGACAACTGCAAGAAGCATAAAATTCTAACTATAAACCGAAAATATGAATGTGAGATTGACGTATTGTATGGTATACCTTTCGCTGAACTTCTTTCCTGGAAACGCCTTCTTCTTGTTCCGTCCTATCGTGAACATGGTTTCGTTCTGCTAAATTCTCTGCAAATATATAAGGAGTTTCATTATGTTTTTGCATGTTCGGAAGTTATAATCACTGAGGATAGCTTCTATTTCATCGCCTAACATGCACTTGTTGGTGGAATCCAAACTAAACGGTAAATCTAACACAAGTCATCTAGATAATGGTGCCCAATAAGGTCAAAGAAGTGTGTTCAAAACAGAAAATTATAGAACAGAGAGCTTAATGCGTTATCCACCTACCCAGAAACAAAATTGTTCCAAAACCTAAAATCAAAGAAAAAGAGTTACCATTCCCATCTTCCCGGCCAACTCTATTGATCCCTCCAAGGACCTTATAAGCTTCAGAATGCAATGAATCAACTCTCAACGAGTATATCTTCACTCCGGCTTCCAAAGTGCAGCTTGCCTTGGACCAAAACAACTGATTAAATCATCAAATCAACACAATATAGCAAACTTGTAAACGAAAATCCTAAAAACAGAAACAAATAATGGGACGGCTACCTTCTGGAAATTAGTTTCCGCGTCGTCCACTTCAGGTTTATTTTGGATGATCTCGCTAAGATGGTCTATCAGGTTCAGCTCCCATGTGTTCTTCTGATTAATCTTCTGCTTGAAGATAAAAACCACAATGGGCAAAAAAGGAGACAAAATAAAAGCTCTGAATAGCATCTACTGAAACCCTAAGGAGGGGAAGGATATAAATGCAAACATTTTCGCTGGCGAGCTTGAGGCAATTATTGAGCAGATCCATGATCTGCTCGTGGTTGAGAAGGTTGGGACGAGAAGGAGAGCAGGCGGGGTCGATGTTGGCGGCGGGTTTGCGGCGAATAGAGGCAATGCGGGCCGCGCGGGCCTGCGCACGCTCGAGTTCATCGTCGTTCGAACCCAGTGGAAAAGAGTTGTGGGTGGGAGATAAGAGACGGGGAGCCATCGGAATACAGCCCTTCTGCTTCACCATCGCCGCCGTGGAGATCGTCGGCATCGCCTTTTCGTCTTCTGCCGACGACATGACTTACAATTTTTTGTCTTATAAGGAATTCGACACAGTTTCCGTTTGCTTCTCCGTCTGAGATTGACAACAGCGTTACCTCGCCGGAGAACTCAAATCTCGCTCTGTCTCTCTCTCTCTACGTCGCCGGAGAACTCAAATCTCTCTCTC